ATAATTACCTCCCACACCCTTGGCTCTGGCTTAAGTATGAAAATCTGTGTGCGTTTGTGTGTGTATCAGGAGGTGGAGGAGGGATGGATGGAGTTGAAAGTCCTCTGCTTTCCCTTTTATTCCTGATCATTCCCAGAAGATCATTTGTATGAGACCATGCCTGCTCATACTCCTGGTTCAGGCAATGCTACGGTGTAGGCAAAATATAGCCCTGCAAAACCAATGGAGGAGTAGACTCCAGATATGCTTTCTCTGAAGATCTGGACATGACCTAATATGATATGAACAGGAAATCACCCTGTCCAGCAAATGAAGTTTGATCCAAAATCGAAGACACATGAAAATGTGAGATAGAGTTGTGCTTGGAAAGGCCCAAGTGTTTTTTCTGAGACCAACCTACTGTTAGTTTCCTTGGATAAGTTCCATGGCGCAACAATGCCAACTGCGTTTTAGCAGCTGGGTCTGATGCACTTTTTTTTCGTGCCATCTTGCTGAGCATTAGTTGAAATCCAAAAAAGCTTGTAAATACACAATGGACTATGTAGGTAATCCGATTGCTTTAGGTGAAGACACTTACATGCTGAGAGATAAGCACATTCTTCAATAACTTCCTGAATTGATGAGACAGCAACCAGCCCCTCTCATGATTGTCTTCCTGAGAGAAGAATACAGCATCATATAATAGCTCTAAAACACCTGCAGCATCCCTAACTGTATTTCTCATAGCTTTGAGAAATATCAATGTTGCTTTGTATAAATTCTTTTCCTTCTTTCTTCCCTATTCCCTCTACTCCCCAGCCCTAAACCTTTGGGTTGATACAGTCCTCTAGAGGCTGAAAAGGGCTTGATCTGGTATAAAAAGCAATGTTGTTCCCATGTAATAAATATTTAAAACGTTTTATCATTGTAAATAAATGCTAAATTCTGTGAGCCCAGGGAATGGCATTAACATGTTTTGCTTACTGAAACATTTATGGAGTGAGTGTCAGCCAAGAGGTTTTGGTTTTTGGTTTGTTTTTTTTTTAAGGTAAACTGAAGTGCTTTTAAAATAAATACTAAGAGCTGTTTAAGATCTTCAATTATTAACAGAAGGAAAGTGTGGGCTGAAAAACTGCAAACAATCTCTTTTGTGGCACTTTCCCTAACCTCTGTGTAGTTATCTCTTTGTCCAGCGTGGAGTGAGCTCCTCAAGGCAGATGCTGTGCATTCACAGATGTCTGGAGAGTGTCTAGCACATGGAGAGAGCTTCCACAAATGATCAAGTACATTTAGAATGCCAAGTATTTGAAAACCATTCATTTTTATACTTACTTGCCAGGATACAAGCTCAGGACTCTGTTTATGGTTGGCCAATGATGGCATTGCCAGCCTTTGTAAAACAGTGTAAAAACACAGCTCTTCACTCTGCTGTCGGAAGGCAGTTATTGGCATCAACTACTTGAAATCCAGAGGCCAGCTTTGCAGTCTGATCAGGTCACCAGGCATTCTGATTTAATTATGATTATAAGCTGCACAGCTCATTGCTTGGAGTGCAAGCCTTATCTCCACAAGGGAGAAAATGCCAAAGATGTGCAATGGTGTATTACAGCGAGCATCAGGCAAGTGGAACTGTGTTGACCCTGTATTGTGAGTGCCTGTGTTGGATGATATCCATGTGTCACAGTGTGCAAAGATTAAGAGCATGCATGAGTTGGGACAGAGAAGTAGTTTTTTTATAAGTTCAACTGTCTTTTCTCCCTCTGCACAGGGAAA